ATATATATATATATATATATATATATATATATATATACACACATACACACATATATATGTATATGTATATGTGTACATATATGTATATATCTATCGCTTTTAGCTTCACAAACTACTTTACAAATAAAATAATAAAATAACATTTATGTAATACCTTAATGTTTATAAAAGGATTTCCCCACATTAACTCATTTGAACATCACAACAACCATAAGAGGTAGGTGCTATTACCATCTCCATTTTAGAGATGAGGAAACTGAGGCTGAGAGTTGAAGGGGCTTACCCAAGGTCACAGAGCAGTTAGTCAATATGTGAAATTGAATTCAAATTTAGGTCTTTCTGACTCCAAGTCCAGGGGCTCTGACAATCAACAGCTGTGTGACTCTGGAGAAGTCACTTAATTTCTCTCAATTTCTGTAAAGTATAAACCATAATAAAACCTACCAAATTGCATCATTGTGAGATCCAATAAAGCATCCAGATAAACCACTTTGTAAGCTCTGAAGTACTTAGTAAATGTTGGTTGTTATTATCATTTCAAAAGAAATCCATTGAATAATTTGGCACCAAAAGAAATGAAAAATACAGAAAGGATGTGTAGGCCAGGACAAGGCAGGGGGGAAGAACTACTCGGATTGATAAGGATCCAGGCAAGAAACTTACGAATGAGAATTGAGTCCAACTTTTACCTAAATACAAAGTATGACAGCAATGCCTGTATTCTTCCCTAGGGATAAAGATTGCCCCTAAACGTGGTTCAGAGGACCCAAAGAAATAATCCAGCACAATGAGGCCAACAGAGGAAACATGTAAAAACAATAGATGAATCAATTCAATCAGACGTTTGGAATATACACTTTTCAATCAACAACAAATTTTGAGAGAGTCTCTGCCCTCAAGGAGCTCAGTCTAGTTGAGCAGCCAAAAGTGGTAAGCATGAAATTGTAGAAAAGCAGAACATGGTCTACAACTCAAGGATAAATTAGGTAACACACAATGTAAGTGGGCAGAAAAGACTGAGATCAGTGTGGATTGAAGGAACAGGATACAAGGCAAATGACCCATTTTGTTGATAAAAATTTATGAAATGTGGGGTCAGCTAGGTGGCGCAATGGATAGAGCACTGGCCCTGAAGTCAGGAGGACCTGAGTTCAGATCTGGCCTCAGACCAAACACTTGACACGTACTAGCTGTGTGACCCTGGGCAAGTCACTTAAACCCAATTGCCTTAAAAAAAATTTATGAAATGCAAGGAAAGTGAAATGTGTAAATCAATAGCCCAGTGGCAGTGAGTTGATTCAAAGAAAGAAAAAGAGAGAAAAAGTAGTCCAATGGTCTCTGTGAGGTTTTCTCTAATTGCTTTATTATCTGCAGGAATTCCCCTGAAAAACAACACACTTGTCATCTCCTCTTATTCTAAAAATGTGATTCCTTCTTAGGACTGAATTTTTTTTAAAGCCACGGGCTCATCACTACTCAGTTGCAAAGAGGCACATTCCAGCTTGATGTCTGTCAAAGCTTCAGGATCATCAGAGCAGGCCAAGAGTGGAAGGGGCAGGCTCAGGGGCCAGGGGGCACTCACAGGAAAAGACTGGCCAACTACCCATTGAGCATGGCCCAGAAGGGATCTGTGATCAGGAATGGGATGGACTAGATGCCTCCTGGGGGCCTGGCCTGCT